CAGACCAAGTACTTGGCTGAAAATTGGAAGATTTGTGTTTTATGTCAACTTTCTGCTTGGAGTCAGAATGAAAAGGGCCTGAACCCACCGGTACTATGGTTTCTCCATCTGGGTCAATTAAGAAGACAATAAAAATTCCCCCCCACCCCAGATGCCGCACTCAAATCAGCCCAACACTAACACGATAATTTGGAATGTTTGTGAGGTGGGGGGAGGGAAGGATTCCCCAAAAAAAGTCCTTTTGTTTAATGCAAATCTGTCGCCTTCTAAGAACTTGGGACTCAAATTAAGAGCAAATTAAGAGTTGTGTACTGTGTGTGCCAGCATTCGGGGCCTGCTCTATAGGGACTCTCCACTTGGGCTTTTGAGCACAGTTCTGGCACCTGGCCAGCCTTCACTGTTTGCCGCTGTTGCTCTGTGGGTGCCACTCTGTGTGGGAAAGGCTTCATTCTCTGCCTCAGAGAAAACCAAACAGAATTGAGAGGAAATATATGCCTTATTTTGCAGAAGAAGAAAGAAATAGAATCATGGCTCCTTCTTCTCCACTGTAACCTGATCTTATGTCAAACTTTAACTGGACTAGATCATTCCACCATATACCCACCAGCCAGAAAGCAAACAGCTTTTTAAAAAATATTTTTCTTTATTTTTTGGCAGCAAAGTGATTAAGTGACTTGCTCAGGGTCACACACCTATTAAGTGTCTGAGGCCACATTTGAACTCAGGTCCTCCTGACTTCAGACAGACTCGACTTCACCACCTATCTGCCTCAAGCAACTTTTGATGAAAGACACGGGAACTTGAGGGATTTGTGTATGTGTGTGTGATTGTCAGGGTTTTTTTTATCTGATGGGAATATACCTTTAAGTCTTAGACACACTGTTATTCTTCTAAAAATTAATGCAGAGTTAAGGGAGAAAAATCAATCTGACCGTGTCATTCACATCTAACTATTCCCAACTCAGTAATGTTTCACCCTTCTCTTCCTCCTCAGCAATCAGAAACAAATGCCATCTCCTTCAGTCACTTCCCTCCTAAGAGGAGACATTTAAAAACTCTCTAGATAAGAATAAAAGAACTCAGTTCATTGAAAATTATGGGGACAATTTTTCCTATAATTTAATTGCCCCCTAGTGCTTTGGCTTGTCTTATGGGTCCCTACTTAATGTTCTAGAGAGTGCAAATGAAATACCGGTCTGGCTAAAATACCATGCAAAAGAAAATGTCTATGAATGTAATGAAATACTACTACTCTGCAAGAAAAAGCAAATGTGAGGAATTCAGAGAAGCAGGCAAAGACATATCAACCAATGCAGCAGGAAAGGAGGAGACCAGGAAAACAGTTTAGACAAAGACTGCAGCAAAGAATGACCAAGAAAAAGAAAAAAATGCAATGAAACTGAATGCTATAGAATTATAAGACCATGCTTGTCCCCAGGGGAAAATGGAGAAAATGGAACTCTTCCTCCTCTTCAATGCAGAGGTGGGGGACCATGGGTATGGAATTTTACATACCATTGAGGTAGATGAAGGATGCTGGGGTTTTTTTCTTTTATAATCTCTCTTACAAGAAGATAGTTGGGTAGGGGAGGTGCTGCAGATGGATTCACAAAAACAAAAGATATAGCTGGGCAAGTTATTTTAATCTATCCGTGCTCTAGACTTGGGTAGCTAGGTAGCACAGTGCATAGAGTGCCAGGCCTGCAGTCAGAAAGACTCATCTTCCTGAGTTCAAATCCGGCGTCAGACACTTCCTAGCTGTGTGACTCTGGGCAAGTCACTCAACCCTGTTTGCCTCAGTTTCCTTATCTGTAAAATGGCCTGGGGAAGGAAATGGCAAAGCACTCCAGTATCTTTGCCAAGACAATCCCAAATGGGGTCACAGAGAGTTGGACATGACTGAAAACAACTGAAGAAACAAGCACCTCTAGACGTCTTTCTAAGGCTATAAATTGCAAGAGAAGGTACTGCCTTGCATCGGTAAAAGAAGTTTCTCCACCCAAGAGTACCTTACACCAATGAAATCATAAGCCCAGTCCTTATCACCCAGTCCCTTTCCCTATCACTGAAAATAAGAAATGTTTTTAAAGGAACTTGTCTATATAATTGCATTTAAATAGCACTTAACAGTGGCAAAGAATTGGAAATTGAGAGGATGCCCATCCATTGGGGAATGGCTGAGCAAGTTGTGGTATATGAATGGAATGGAATACTATTGTGCTATAAGAAATGATGAACAGGCTGACTTCAGAAAAACCTGGGAAGACTTATATGGTCTGATGCTGAGTGAAGTGAGCAGAACCAAGAGGACTTTGTACACAATAACAGCCACGTTATGCAATGACTAAGATTGTTAAACTGAACCCTTCTCAGCATTACGAGGATCTAAGACATCTCCAGAGGCCTCGGGATGGAAAATGCTGTCCATGTCCAAAGAAAGAACTATGGAAGTTGAATCGCTATCACTTATTTTTACCTTCTGTTGAGTTTTGTTTCATCTTTCTGATGGTTCCTCCTATTGGTTTTAATTTTTACTTACAACTTCACTAATGTGAAAATATGTTTCATGGGCATGTAAATGTAATTGTGCACCATCTTGAGGAGGGTGGGGGGGAGGAAGGGGGAGAAAAATTTTCAACTCAAAAGCATATGGAAGTGATTGTTGATAAATCAAAATAAATTAATTTTTTAAAAAAGAATTCTGAAGTCTTAAAAAAAATAGTACTTAACAGGCATTGTTGTTCCCTTTGAGCCTGTTCACAACCCTGGGAAATAGATGCTGTTATCACTCCCATTTTACAGATGATGAAACTGAGGCACAGAGAGGTCAAGTCATTTGCCCATGGTCACACAGCTAAGAGGCATTTGAGACAGGATTAGGAACCAAGTCTTCCTGATTTCACGTCCAGGGCTCTAACCACTGAGCAATTCTGCTTCTATATTGCCAGTGTGACTCTGTCCTAGGGAGGTAAAATCAATGCAAGAGGCACCAGCTTTGCCACTGTGGCAGCAGCATCCGGTGGGAAGGAGGAGGAGGATGACCTTGGAGGCTTCACCAGTAGCAACCACTTGTTTTTTTTAATTATTAAATAAAGTGTTCATTTATAAACGCATTTCATAAACTCACAAGATGCTTTTTTTGTCCTGTTTGCCCATCACTGAGAATGGATGGGAACCATAGAATGAGGCTGTGACCTTCTGTGGTACTTCTGAGATTCTTGGAAGAGGGTGTTACGTACTTGGAGGGCTCTGGCTTTCATTTGAGCTCATTTTGACAGGCATTATTTCTGTAGCGTGCTGGCTGCAGTGCCAGGATGAAAGACACCTTAATTTATTATTTTTAATATAGTTAATTCTTTAATTGTTCCCCCACCAATGCAGCTGTTCTATGCACAGAACACAAAGTGTTCATTGGTGCTGCTGGCAGCAGACAGATGTTTTTAAAGTATTTTTAGGTACCAACAGACAGGCTCCTCCCTCATGGCAAGCTGCCAAAGGTTTATTTCAGATTGTGCAATTAGAACGTAATCTGGGTACAGGAAGCAGAGGGACTTTTTTGAGAGATGACAAGGGTTAAGAATGCGAAGAAGCTATTCTAAGATAGCAGAGATGGATTTTATGTGAACTTGTGGGCTTTCAGATTTCACCACAACAAAAGAAGCATTTCCAGCCAGGGCCTGGGAACGTTTGCTGCAGAGTTAATGCTTTCCAGATGTTCCAGGCTTTGGGGAACTGCTATCTTGAGGAGTTCAAAATCAAACTAAAATATGCAATTCAGTTCAAAACATTTAAGTGTCAGGCATTGGAGATACAAAGACAAGAGAGAGAGAGAGAGAGAGAGAGTCCCTACCCTCAAAGAGCTTTCATTCTAATCATTTCCGTTTCATTCCTGTCATCCTTTTTTTGCCTGAAGTTGTATAGATAATATTCAAGAACTTTCAATGGCTCCCTATTGCCTCTATGGTAAAAATTACAAACTCCTCAGCATGGAGTTCCAAGCCCTGAATAATCTAAATCTTTCCAGATTTATTGCATATAAAGACACTCCACTCTCCAGTCAAATTGTCCCTTGAGCTTGTATTCCATCTCTAGGCTGTTTCTCATGCCTGGAATGCCTTTCCTCCCCACTGCCATGCCTCAGAATTTCTAGCTTCTTTTAAGATATACCAGCACCCATGGGTGATCCCTTTGTACTCTTTCTCTCCTTCTGAGGGGGGGGGCTGAGAAAGGGGGGGAGAGGTAGGTAGAGAAGATATAGATATACCATATGTATTATATATATATATATATATAATAATGATATAATAATATCTGTCACCTTATATATCATCTGCTATTTGCCAGGCACTGTGCTAATGAATCATATACAGATATGTACATACATACATAGGTATGCATATACATGTGTATGTATACACGTATATGTAATAATCTTATAATAGCTAGAATTTATATAGTATGGATTATTTGCCAGGCACTGGTGCTAATGAATTTATACACACACAGGTGTGCCCATATACAGCCATATATATGCATATATGTAGTAATATTATAATAATTCCTAGAATTTGTCTAGCACCTACTATGTGCTTGGCATTGTGGTAATTATTATCTTTATAATATATTGTTACTATATAGTAATATATGCACATAAAGAACATGTATTATATGCATAATGAGATTGATATTTACAAAATACTTTTGCAAACCTTAAAATTCTATTAAAATGCTATTATTATATTTATCTGTTTACAAGTTATATCTTCCCATTAGAAGGTAAGCCCACTTAGGCCAGGGACCATTTTTCATTTTGTCTTTGTATCCCTGTTCCTAACACAGTGATTTGCATATACTAGTTGCTTAATAAAAGATTAGTTTGGATATTGTAAAGTAATTTCAGCATACAAGGCTACTACTATGGCCCAATTCATTTAAGAGTCTTTTGTTCTCATGAATGAAAAAAAAAAAGGTTGGAAATATGTCTTTTGTTTTTCTTCCAGAACATCATTGCTGAGCACGAAATCCGGAACATCTCCTGTGCTGCTCAGGATCCCGAGGATCTCTCCACATTTGCGTATATCACAAAAGACTTGAAATCAAATCACCATTACTGCCACGTGTTCACAGCCTTTGACGTGGTGAGTCCTGGGGGTTTATTTCTATTTAATGTCAGTCTGAGTAACAGAGCTGCTTTGCCAGGTACTACACCCAAATGTTCTGCAGGTTGGGACTTTGGCAGGAGAAACTTTCCTCCTCAAATTACTGTAAATTTTTTGCAGGCATACACACAACACACACACACACACACACACACACACACACACACACACACACACACCCAGACTTGTGAGTTTCAAGGGTCCCGTGTTTCTTCTTTTATTGCCCAAACTTTTAGGCTTAACAAATCCATTTCTCTAATACCAAGGAGAGCTCCTTCCTCTAGTACCAAGGAGAGCTCCTTCCTCTTAGTATCTGTTTCCAAAGTCCAGAGGGACACAAATACCACTTTCATTGTCTCTTACAGTACTCATTATTTTGGGTTGTCTAATCCCAGCAAAACCAAATACTAGCAACAACAAAGTTGGGCTCTGTAAGGCATATCTTTGGCCCATATGCTCATTATGGAAGGGGTTCTATACTCAGAATGAAATCTATTGAAGGTTCCTAGCCTCACAGACCTCAGAGACCAATTAGTCCAACCCCCAAATTCACACAGTTTGGGCAGAACTGAGATTTGAACTCAGGTACCAAGACTCTGAGTTCAACCTTCTTTTCCACTGTACCATGGAAGATAAAGGATGGGGGAAATTCTTTTCTCGGTGAAGGAGAGAGGCACCCAGCACAGCACATAGACAGCTGGACCGGAATCAGGAGACCAGTTCTAACATGATCTCAGACACTTACTAGGTGTGTGACCCTGAGCAATTCACTTGACCTCTGCCTGCCTGGGTTTTCCCATCTGTAAAATGGGGGTGATTATGATAGCATTTACCTCCCAGAGTTGTTGTATTAAATGAGATGATATTGGTAGAGCATTTTCAGAGCATTATATAAATGCTTTATTCTTAAGGACCCTGAGCTGTTGAATTTTCCCAGACAGGACAGAGAAGGTATGTGTCCTCAGCCATCTCTCTTTCTCCATTTTTATTCTTTCAAGCCCTTGTACAACTCTGCTTTCCTTCAGCGTTGGTAATGGGGAATATTATATTCCTAAATTTATGTACTGCTTGTGGAATTCTCAAGTAGGCCTTTAAAAACTTGCTGCCCCCTCTCCATATGGGGCACAGCGATGCTATCAGGACATTCTCCCACCTCAAAAGAGTCTCCTACGCACATTCTACCGTCAGAGATTTATTGACAAACTAAAATGGAAATACTTGAGGATTAGGGAAGGGGCTGGCGGGGGGGAGGCATGGTATTGAGTGAGTGGTTAAGACATGTATGTATTTCTCTCTCACACACACACACACACACACACACACACACACACAGTCTCTCTCTCACACACACATTCTCTCACACACTCACACACATTCTCTCTCTCTCACACACACACTCCCTCTCTCTCTCTCTCACACACACACACACACTCTCTCACACACACACTCACACACACACACACTCTCTCTCTCACACACACACTCACACACACACACACTCTCTCACACACACACTCACACACACATTCTCTCACACACACACTCCCTCTCTCTCTCTCTCACACACACACACACACACACTCTCTCTCTCTCACACACACTCACACACAGATTCTCTCTCTCACACACACTCTCTCACACACTCACACACTCTCTCACACATACACTCAGAAGACACACTCACACACACTCACTCCCCTCAAGCTGTTTCTTCGTTTTTAAGAAGAAGAGGTCGGTTCAGTGATTGTTGCTGTCGCTTAGTCATTTTTCAGTCACGTCCAACTCTTCTGACCCCTTTTGGGGTTTTCTTGGCAAAGACACTGGAATGGTTTGCCATTTCCTTATCCAGTTCATATTACAGGCGAGGAAATTGAGGCAAGCAGTGTTAAGTGACTTGCCCAGAGTCACACAACTGGTAAGTGTCTCAGGTCAGATTTGAACTCAGGTCTTCCTTACTCCAGGCCCAGTGCTCTATCCACTGCACCACTTAGCCCCCTATATGCTGTGGAACTCTGGAAAAGCAAGTTACTTTAACCTCTCAGTAACCTGGGCAGCTCTCTAAATTGCAAAGCAGCTGTGGCTCTGCATTATAGAGAAATTTTCCTTCTTAGTTCCCTATACCAAGGAAATCAGATTTGTTAAAAGTATAATCCTGGGACAATTCACTCATCTCCTAAACCACAAAGAGGTTATAGGTCTTATAGGTTGAGGGACTGCCCACACCAGGAATTCCCTCAGAAGAGCTTTGCCCTATTAATGCATTAATTAAAGTAGCTCCATTCAATCCACAAAAGGATAAATTCTCTCCTCCCTCCCTCCTGTTCACAACCCCATTAAACCTGGCAAATTAAGCAATTAGTCAGATCTTGCCATTCCCTGAAATGCAGTTGTTTAATTTGCAGACAATGAAGTTTCAGTCTCTCCCTCTCCAGATGTATATGTGTGTGTGTGAGAGAGAGAGAGAGACAGTGTGTGTGTGTGTGTGTGTGTGTGTGTGTGTGTGTGTGTGTGTGTGTGTGTGCATGTCTCAAGATTTCCTCTCTTCTGACATCTCAGCTGGAAATTGGGCCTTTTTCTTTCCACCCCCTTTTGAGAAAAGCCAGTCCCAGGATGGTGGTTTCTCAGGAATCGGCTACAGATGGTCAAAAATTGGCCCACTGCCTTGCCCCACAGCACAGCCTCAGCTCCCTGTTGTGATGTTAACAAGAAAAAAGCATTTCACCCAGAAACCTTGCACGTCTCTCAGATGGTGACCTCGCTGTAATTACACCGAGATCTCCATTAAGAGGCACGTTGACATCAACTCTATTTAACTTCCTGACCAAACATAGCATTCCCTGTACTGAGGTCACAGGTTTTAGCTTCAAAACACAATCTTTTGCTTCAGTGTTTGTGCATTTCTTTTTCCTCACAGTGGATCTAATGGGAGAGCAAATTAGGCCATTAGGATTTCTTTATGCCATCAATTGGTTGAAAGGTGATCTTGGAATCTTCAACACCTGGGTTCAAATTCCACTCTTGACTTTCATGCTGGCTGTGTGACATCAATGCCCTAAGAAGATGCTGACCTGCACTGATAGAGGGGAATTCCCTACATCAGATCTATGAAATCACAGGGGTCCAGAGCTTTTTCCTGTGTTATGGACCCCTTTGGAATCTGGTGAAGCCAGAAGAGTCCCTCTTCTCATAATAGTATTTTTAAATATATGAAAGAAAATACATAGGATTGCAAAGGAAACCAGTTATAATTAAAATAGTTATCAAAATGTTGTTCATCCTTCATTTCAAGAGTGATGTCTTGAGTTGCTCATGAATTGGATTTAAGTGAGACAGAGACATCAGCCTCACTCTCCTCCAGAGTCATCAAAATCCAGGGGCAAGACAAAAGTCAAGACACTGGTGATGGCCCCAGTTATCAAAATATTCTTTATAACTACAAGCCTACAGACCCCCTGAAATCTATCCATCAGAGGGATCTGTGGACCCTGGGCTAAGAACCCCCCACTTAACAAACGGAACACTAGCCTTAGAGTTAGGAAGAGGCGGATTAAAGGTTTGCTTCTCACACTGGTAGTATGACCCTGGGCAAATCACTTAACCTCGGTGCTCTCAACACTAAGATTCTAAATTGCAGGAAGGCACTGATTGGCACTAGGAGAGGGAATTTCTTGACCGGCAATTCCCTGCACCAATTAAATCACAAGTCACTGTAAGTTATGGAGGAGGACAAGGAGGAGAAACTTACCTAACTTGTATAACAATGCCTCCTTGACGGAACTGGAAGAATCAGACGAGATTGTGTGTATAAAATCCTTTGTAAGCCTTGAAGCCCATGTAAATGTGCCAGTTTTTGAGGATTATTGGAATTTTAAAAAATGTTAAAAATTATTTTATATGTAATTAAGAAAAATTAATTTTTTAAATTAAAAAAAGGATTAATGGAGGTAACTAAGTGTTACAGTGGACTTGGAGTCAAGAAGACCTGAATTCAAATCCCAACTCACGAACTTACTACTTATATAACCCCAGGCAAGTCACTTAACCTCTCTCAACCTCAATTTCCTCATGTATAAAATTGGGATAATAATGGCATTTACTTCCCAAGATGGTTGTGAAGATCGAAGGAGACAGCCATTGTAAAGTGCTTTGCAAAGCTTCAAGCACTAAATAAATACTACCTAATATTAGTGGAAAGGTCTAGGCTCATGACACTTGGGCTGGTGGCTTAAATTTTCTAGACTTCAGTTTCCTGTTCTGTAAAATGGGGATACAAATACTTGTGTCACCTACCCCTTGGGAAAGTGCTTCCTGAATCTTAAAGCTCATCCATGTGAATTGTATTAAGGTAGGAAATTGGCCTGAATGTTCTAGATGCTCCAAAAATTTAGCCTTGCTTTTTCTCCCCCACTCCCCTCCACCCTGCTGAAATCCACCATTTCAGTAATCCTCGGGGAAACCATACTTTGCCTCATGCCCGAAATACCCACAAAGGTGACCAGCTTAGACCTGGGCCTTTGAGCAGTCTTTAAAGATGAGACAGGCTTTGCATACCCTCCAAAAAAATTTTTTTAAATCACCATTTCTCCTCTTTGACCAGAGACTTTCTATCTTTATGTAGGGCAGCTGTATATTCAGTCCAAGTTTTAAAGCCTTAAAACCTTTTTAAATAAACATCTGTAGAAATCTTTTACATGGCTCCTGATGGGGAATCACGAAGAAATTCACAGCATAATGGCCAGGCCACATCCTTAAATCAGAGCAGGATTATTATAAAAGAAAATGTGGTTCATTAGAGAGGCTGCTCACTGCCTGGCAGAGTCCCTGGAGATTTTGTAGGTCACTCTTCTGATATCTCATTACCACCAAGGCCAACTGATAGGTCCATTATGTGCATACATGAATATACCACCCCTAATCATCAAAACTGGAGTGTATGTAACACTCTAAAGGTTGCAATGTGCTCTATCTACATTATTTCC